AATATTTTTTCTCCTGCTAACGAAAAAGTTTCTCTTGAAATAAACAAATCATTTTTCATTAATATTTATTTTTGATTAAGACATTTTCTTTTCAAAAACATATTATAACAAAGTATCGAATAGGCAATAGAATCGATTAAACAGAAGTGGTATATTTATAAGTTTTGTGATGGTAATTAAATTGTTAAAGAAGCTTTATAAAGAGAACATCTAGGGTTTCACGTGATAATTTAAAACCAATTTTATCTTTTTCATTTCATAGGATCAATAAAGTCAGTCCAAACTATATAGAAGAATATTGTTTTCTGTTCGTAACACGCCTACATCTGCATCCTTTTATCATACAAAATAGTTACGAAAATAGCATGATGTACTTCTACCACCTTGCAATTGATTTTTTTTCTTTGTTGATTAATACCCCACCTGTTTCATTCCTATATATTTTTTCTGTATTTAGTTCAAATCATTGCAATTCACTATACTAATGCTGTTATTAAGCACCTTATTAATCATCGTCTGTTTCTCTCTTAATAATATTGTCCATGCATGCAGTAAAGATCCGCATGAAGGCGTATTAGTTATTGCTGCTGGAAGTTTTCTTTCAGCCAGTAGTGATCAAGGTGTTAATTGGTCACCAGGAGAAAGAAAAGGTCAAATGACATTCAATCAAGCAACTTGTCAATATGAAAAAATTGTTCGAGGATTACCAATGAATGCAAACTTCGAATGGAAAGTTGCTTTTAATGGAAATTGGGGTGGCGATATAGGATGTAATAATGGTGCTAATTGCGTTTTTAATAGTGGTTCTTCTGGTATTGTTCTTCTTATCTATGATCCATTCAATAGAAAATTAACGACAAGTCCTTTTAATGATGAGACTACAGCACCTGGTGGTTCAACTTCTGCACCAACACCCACACCTACAGCCACATGTTCGAATCCATATCAAAATCGAATAGTTCGAGCATCGGGTAATTATCAAACAGAATTAGGTAGTACAGCTCCTTGGCTCGCAACAGAAGCACATAGTTTGATGACATTTGACGCAACATCTTGTCTTTATATACTTACACTTTCTGGTTTAACACCAAATAAAGCCTATGAATGGAAAGTTACTTTTGATAATGCATGGTCAAATAGTCTTGGCTGTGGAAATGGTGGTAATTGTAAATTTTCTACAAATGCAGCTGGTGCAATTGAACTCATATTTGATCCTATTTCAAAACAATTATCAAATCGTCCTGTGACAACTGTTTGTGGTAATGAACAATGTGAATTAGGTGAAACGTGTCGAACATGTTTAATTGATTGTGGTGAATGTCCTCCAGCTGTTTGTGGTGATGGTAAATGTGAAGATGCTGAAACATGTGAATCATGTTCAAGTGATTGTGGAAAATGTCCAGTATGTGGTGATGGAACATGTCAATCTAATGAAAATTATCAAACATGTTCACAAGATTGTCCCAATGAATTGGCTGGTTGTGAAATATTTCGAGAAGATAGTTGTCAGAGTGGTTCTCAATCTAATGCAAATCCAGGTGCAGATGCTAAACGTTGGCAAACACCAAAACCTGGTACAAACGATTATCGACCATCATATCAAGATTATCATACACTTGTTGGTTATGCTGATATCATTTATACAGATACTGATCGTCGTACAGCTGATGTTTGCCTTGAAACAAAACATCGTTATAGTGATACAGTAAAATTAACTTATTTTTTTGATGGTGTTGCTCAAGCAAATAAATGTAAACGTTATACAAGTTCATATACAAATATATTACAAGCAGTAGTTACAGGAAACGATGGTTCAACATTAGAATTACCAGATATTGATTTCGCTTGGAATGCGAGACCAATTGCTAGTCGATCAGGTGATTATCGTAATGGACAAAAAGGTGGTGTAGCTGAAATGTTTGGATGGCCTCATAATGACATAAAAGAAGAATGTGAATTTCTTGGTAAAGCTGGTTATTTAGGTGTAAAACTATTTCCAGTTCATGAACAATTAATGTCAACACAACCATTTGAAGATGCAATGAATCCATGGTATTTTATGTAAGTAGATTTTTAATTATTTGATTTATTGTATAAAGAATGTTTTTTATATTACTTATATTAGGTATCAACCAGTATCATATAAATTGGATGGTCGAATGGGTACACGTGAAGAATTACGTGATTTAATTAATACATGTCGTGGATATGGTGTACGAGTTTATATTGATGCAGTACTTAATCATTTCACTGGTGCTGGTAATGATATGAATCAACATCGAAATCCTAATGGTTGTGTAAAATGGGGTAACAAAACAAGTAGTGCACCACCTGAACGACAATCACCGTTCTATACACATGCTTATACTTATCAATATAATCCAAATACAGGCAAATCTCCATCCAATGAATTTCCTGGTGCTGCTATTGGTCCTGAAGATTTTCATTGTGATCGTGTACTTGGTTCATGGTCTGATTTATTTATCTTGAATAATGGTTGGCTTGTTGGTCTTACTGATCTTGATACATCAAGAGATTATGTACGTGAACGTCAAGCAGCTTATATTGTTGATATGTTAAGTTTGGGTGCTAGTGGTTTTCGTATTGATGCAGCTAAACATATGTCACCTGAAGATATTTCTGCAATAATGAAAAAAGTTCAACGAAAAATGGGTGGAACATTACCAGATGATTTCTTTGTTTGGCTTGAAGTTCTCACAGGTAAAAGAAATATATAATTTCTAACCTAATTTTTAAGTTTGATCATATGTAAATTATAATTTTTGTCAAAGGTGGAGAAGCTGGTGTTATATGGCAGGGACCATCATGGTATGGAACTATGTTCGAAAATATTCTTAAGAAGGATCTTGGATCAAATTCTGAAGTCGATAAAATTAAAGTAAATTTTTCTTGGATATTTCTTCATTGAAATAAATTTTTATTTAAAATTAGATGTGGGATGGTCTCTATCCCAAAGAACCATTCAATAATCCTACCGTATCACGTCATCGTGTAGTCATTCAAAATGATGATCATGATCAACAAAATCCAGGTTCAAGTAGTCGTGATATGGCTAATGCTGGTTGTGTTCTTGTTAAAAATTGTCCTGTTGCCGAACATCGTAATTTTGAAATTCGTCTTTTTACAAATCCAAATGGTGCACAAAATAATAATGATGATTGGCCTATTCGATTTATTCTTTCATCTTATTATCATACTCATGGTGATCTTGGTATTCCAGATGGAAAATCATCATGTGATCTTTGTACTGTTACATGTACAACATGTCGTAAATCAGTACCTTATATAAAAGCATATGATCGAATGGCATGCGCTTATGCAGGTAATGGCTATACGCGTACACATCGTGATATAGCTGTTATCAATGCAATGCGTGTATGGATGCATTTAACACCAGTATCAGGAGCATCGTTGGGTATTGGACATTGTGGATAAATATGAGAAGAATATAAATCATGCTCCTGGTTTTTTTTTCTTGTTTTCTCTATTAATTAAAGATACGTTCATAACAATCTAATAAAGTATTATTATCTATATATCTTTTTTAGATGGTTTTAAGATGATTTATATTTTGATTTTTTCTACTTGAAAATAGATTGTACACTGTCTTAAAATTTAATCAATCAATTATAGAACAAATCAACATTTTCTATTGTGCTTTATAAATCAAGAAAACCACTGGCTTCTTTCTTATTTCTATCAAAACTTATACAAAAACTACATAAAAACATTGTAATTTGCAATATATCATCATTTCTTGAAAAACATTTAATCACCTCAACGTTTTCTAAAAGAAATAAGATGATCATTAATCCTTTTACCTCCCATAGCGACTATAAAGAAGCTATTGATGAAATAACCATTGGAATAGAATATTGATGTCTTCGATATATCGATACTATGGACAGACCAACCAGGTACACTCTCGTTTGGTTACTCTAATAATCATTGAGAGAAAAAACGGTATGTCTCATTTTATAGAGAATGATTTGCTCTACTATTTTGTGTGATAAGGGCGAATTTTATGTCCAGGTTCAGGAAGCTGAAAATCGAAAGGTTTGATTTTCTGAAACATTAGTAGTAATCATCCTGTATTTTATTATTTCTTTTCTATCTAGCTTTTGTGAAACTTTCGAATGGTATTGATACTAGTAATAGACATTGTCATTCTTCTATATTACACAATACATTTCCATAATATATTTTGTTTGTTTATAGAAAAATATTTTATTCAAAAAAATTCAACTTTTTGTGATTTTTTCAAATTTATTGATTTTTCAATTCATCTTTTTCGAAGATGGAACAGCATAAAACAAAATATTTTCTTATCAATTGATACTCTATGGAGTTGACTACAAGACATATTTTCAAAACTTTTTAATTTCCTGTAATCGCTTCACAAAATGGTCATTTGAGTGGCCACGAGAGAGTAAAGGGTTACAGATTTTGTTTGTTTTTTCAAAAGCTAACATCTGACAAAAATAGAATAGAAAATTCGAAACTCCCTTTATCAATAACAAAGTTAATTAAATATCAATAAATCTATTTGTTTATTTTGACCATTGGACATTGTAGAAATCTCTAATCAATTTCATTCTCATGTCAAAAATCTTTAAACTGCATGTCGATTAACTGAATAGTAGGTAGTTATTGTAATCGAGTAAACTCATTTCTCATAGAGAATACTTGATGATCAATAATCAAAAAAAGATTTTAATTCTTTTTTCTCATTGGTAGTTTCAAATTCTTATGGTACTGCACGGATCTAAACATCATGACTCATGACCTAGGAGTTATTTGGCATGTCATAGAAAATTTCTCATCGTTTTTTTTCTTTTGTTATTTTTTTCTTCATATCTTCTTCAAACAAAATATGTGTATTTATAGTTCAGTTACATATGCAAAAAACGAAAGATGAATTACTCATTACTTTTTTTGTATTTGTATTTATTAAAAAAACAACAAGTTATTATTTTCAGATGTTTACAATTAATCATTGGTTTCATCGAAATCCTTTAAAATCAACGGCTATCGTGTCGTTTGATCATCGAACATCACCATCAAGTACAGATGCTATGCAAATATGCAAGTAAAATAAAAATAAATTTATTATATTGAATTGAAAATAATTTGTTTTCCTTTTTGTTTTTTTTTTTTTGTTTTTCTTTGAAGTCAACTTCGTCAATTACGTCTTGAACTTTTACAATTATTATGTAATCCAACGCTTGAAACTTCAAATATTCGAGATACATTTGATCAATATATGTCCTTGTTAACCGGTTTTGTAATATCACCAGATGGTAGTAGTGATGATTCGAAATTACGTTATACAACAAAATTTTATTGGAGTGATTCATTAACAAAAACCGATATTATAACGTATAAATACAAAAAAAAAAATTTTTTTTCAAATTAAATATTTTTATTTTTAGAGATGTTCAAGATGCACAATTTGAAATATGTTGTATGACAATGAATGTCGCCATGTGGTATACAAAACATGCTGCATATGTTGCATCTAAAAGTAGTATGTGAGTAATATACAAAATAAAATCTTGTCATTTAAATTTAAATTTTCATAAAAAAAAAAAAAAATTAGCCCAAGTGATAAGGATGCACTTGATGTACATAAATCACTTCGAACTGCAGCTGGAATGTTTAAACATGTTATGGTTTGTTTATTTTTTTTTCTTTCATTTGTTTTTTTATTTTTCTATAAAATAAAATAGGATGTTGAACTTCGAAAATTACATGATGTTAAATTACCATCTTGTTCTGATCTTAATGAAAAAATTCTTGCTGCTTATTATTATAGTTGTTTGGGAGAATTTCATGAAGGTTAAATTTATAATTAAGAATTAGAAAAATTTTTAATGAAAATTTTTTTTTTTTATAATTATCTATTTATAGTTACGGTAGCACGAGCAATGAGTGCTAAACAAGATAATGCACTTATTTCAAGTATAAGTAATCAAATTTCACAATATTTTGATATGGGAGGTAAAGAAAAAAATTGATATTGTGATATGACATATTGAAATAATATTTCTAGGTCAACAATTAGTATCATTAGATGAAAAAATTATTGGACAATGGCGTATGTATTTTGGTCTTAAATCAAAATTTTATTTAGCTGAAGTATGAATTTTATTGAAGATTTTATTATATTACGTTATTATTATTATTATTATTTAGGCACGTGCATATCAAGCATTGGATTTTCTCAAGAAAAATGATGCACCAAATTCTTTGAAAGCGGCTGAAGAAGCAAGCAAAGGTAAGCAAGTCATAATTTTTGTCTTTTCACTAACATTAGTTAATCTAAATATTTATATATATAGTTCAACAACAAGCAGCTAGTTTTTGTGAACAATATTCTAAAACTAAAGGAGCTGGATCACCACAACGTCATCCATTTTTTCTTCAACTTGATTCATTAATTCGTCGTGTTCAATCAACAGTTGATTTTGAAAATAATATTATGTTTGTTTTTATATCTTCACTCATACTGACTGTAATGATTATATTTTTTTTTAAATTTCTTTAGTCATCATAAAAGAGCTGCAGCTGACTTAGCACCACTTGATAATAATCCAACACATGGAATTTTACCTGCTGAAGAATATATTCCAGCTAAATTAAATAGTTTATTTTCTGAGAATACTTATCGAGCATTTGATATTGGTCGAAATGTTGGCAAAGTAAGAAAAAAAAAGCACAAACATTTATTTTTCTTTTAATTCTTAAATTCTTCTATATTCTAGCCGTATAAAGAAGATAAACATGCACGTGAAGTAAAAGAAGCTCGAGAAATGCCAATACCACAAGGAATGCCACCATCCGAAAGTGCTTGTACTATTGCTTAAAATGATTTTATTATGTACATTCATTGCCTTCTATTCATTTTTCTTTATTATATTAAACATTTTATGCGTATTAAATAAAAAGAATCTAACAACAAAATAATGAACCAAGATTTTACTTTTTTTTCTTTCCTTTTTTTTTTTTTTTTCTTTTAAAAATTTGCTGATATATATCTTCGTGGCATATAAAAATAAATAAAAAAAATGAATAGTGGTATACCAATCATTAAACCAAGAGTCAAAATAAGTGGTGTTAAAATAAATGTACTTATAAATACAAATGTACAAAGAAAAAAACGACGAATTGAACCCATATCAAGTTCAAGTGAATATTGATAAAATTTTTTTGTTAATATTATTGGTAATGCTATTAATAATATTGGAATAGCAATAACAATTATTAATATGGCTATAATTGGAGTTAATATCCATGATAATATTAAAAATAATATTGATTTAAGTTTTGACCAACGTTTTTTACCATAAAATGTACAACCAGTTGGTGTTATAAAATGTAAATTATCAACTTCTTTCATACATAACCAACAAAATTCACATGTACATATAGCACAACGTATATGATTACATGAACCATCATTTAATTTTTCTATTGGACTTTTACCTAAAAAAAATAAAATAAAATGTATAGATAATCAGTAAGGATTCCAAAATTTAATATGAAAAATGAATTTATATTAAGACTTCATCTAAAAAATTGATCTTTGGTCCAGATATATTCAAATTGTATAAAATTTTCAGGATATATTAGGATCGTTATGGAGAGGCTTTGATAAAATTTTCAGTCTTATACCATGATGTTTTCACGAGATATTCAACAAATAAGGGTCAAAAATAGCTCATTTGATAACCTAAAATTCTCCGTGGACCTTCATTCTATGTACTTAATTTTTTTTTGTTTGAAAGAACATAATAGAGCACTTATTTTTAAATTCTAATTTTTTAATGGCAGAAAAGCTCAATGTTTCGAAAAACTCTTAAAACATGGCACTCTAATTATAAAGGAACTCTTTAGTATATTAGTAACAAAGCTTAATTCTAGAATGGAACTCTGCACAGTGTAACTCACCATTGAAGACAGAGGAAGTGCAGCATGAACAAGTGTCAACGTGGAGGTCATTGTGTAGTCCAATTTCAAAAGAAGAGGACGCTTTATAGACAAGTTTCAAAACCCCACGAGCATGACGTCTCTCCAAAAGCTATGCCTCGAGGATTGTTCCAATATCCTCTTCCAAACAAAGAAAAAGCTATTGACTATAATGACGTTTCTTCGAATATTCTGGAATACGCGATTAAAAACTCATAAACAAAGAAAAAAATTTCCGCTTTTTCTAAAAAACATAACCCACATTTTTCAAACCGGAAATGACGGATATTTTTGGAAAGAGAACGAAATGACAAATAAAAAAATCCGGTCATTTATGACAGGTTAGACCTTAGGGTTATCTATCATCTTAATTTCATTTTTTCTGACGACAATTGACTTTTTTGAGAGAGGGTATTAACTATTTTTTTTTATTGTGATTTATGAAAGAAAAATACCAAGAAACTTTGAAATTGTATGAATTTCTTTTTTATCATTGATTATAACAGTTACTAATTAAATCTTTTAGTCCTGATAATCAACAAACAAAATTCCTTTTATCATTGAATTATTCTACAAATAATATTGTTCAGCTTTGTAGACAAGCCTTGAAACTTATTCAAATATATTTACGATCTGTCGAAATATGATTATATACAATTGCGAATGTTATTTCGTTTCATCATGGATAATAAAATACAAATTCATGGATTGACGTCTTTTTATGTAATTTAGTCTATTCGACACCTTGAAATATTGTGCTTTTTAAAAAAGAAAAGAAAACCGAGAGCATTTTGTACTCTAAAACTACAATGAAGAATATCGTTTATCTTTTGTAATCTACTGTATGATATACTATAAGTTAACAAATGACTTTGGTCTTTTATCTCTTATATTCAGAAAAAACGTTGTAAAAAATTATGGTGTCTTTATTTATGATAATGAAAGATTAATCCTTTCTTGCCCTATAGTATTTATAGATATCATTTTATAAAAAATTGATTCTTTTAAACTATAAAACATGTAGGAAAGGATTCCATCTTAATTTAACGTCTGTATATTTTGTACTTCAAATCAATAGTTTGAAACTATTCTTTACCATAAAAATAATATTTTTGATGTTCTATAAATACATAATGTTATGGCACGCACCATAATTCATAAGAGAAAGGCTAGGTTATTGTGTATGGTTCAAACATTTCCTGTATATATTAGGGCTCATAAGATTGATGTTATTGAGCAAGTTAACCTTCTGAACTATCAGATTTAGCCAAAGGCAAGAAAGGGTTAATTTATTTGATCAAATCAAATCGACATATTTAAACATAATCTTTCTTTTTTATATACTTAGTTTATTTGAAAATTCTTTAATATCCGAATTCAATATATATGAAAATTTGTCATTGTAAAGAAAATAATGATATAAATATCTTAAAAGAAAAACTTAAGACTGAAAATCGAGCCTTCAAAAAAAAAAGAGAAGACACGGAATGAGCTCATATTTCTCATGTGCGCTATAATTCAACACTCATAAGCAATATTTTAGTAAAACTTATTATTACAATTTCTGTCATAAAAATGTCAAAGTCTTTTATCCTCTACTCTTTTGAATGAATCTCTATAATTAAATAAAATCAGTAATATAATGAATATCCATTACATAAAAGTTTCCGATTTTATTTCTATATTTAGGATATAACAAAAAAAAAGCGAATAATAATTCAAAATTCGAAATATTTTTAATTTTATCATAAAAAAAAAACCAACAAATAAACTTACATCGTGGACATGGTCGAATCAGTCCTCCATTCGAATTGGATTTTATAAGCATTTGAAGTGTAGGATCTTGAGCAGCACGTTGACTTGATGCAAGTTCACATGTTAAATTTGGATGCCAAATTTGTGAACAACGTTGACAAAATGGTCTTTTACAGACTAGACAATCAAATTTATTTGCTTTACGTGTATTGTCAACCAAAACAGCAAAATTACAATTTGGATAACTAAATTTACAAAAGATTTACTTTTGTTTAATTTTTTATTTATTAAAAATAAACAAAACAAAACAAAACAAAAAAAGAATTATATACTTACGGACACCATCTTGTATCAGGCATTTTTTGTAAGACACGTCTTAACATAAATGTTTCATAACGTTCATACATTTGTTGATCATTTAAAATTCGTTTTATATCATTTGGATGAAGAATTTCTTTACAATCACTATGTGGACATTCTACTAATGATAAACAACCATTATGTATTTTGTCAAGTAAATATATATGTAAACATGAATAACAAAAATTATGTTTACATGTTCGTAAATTTTCACATTCATTTGTTGAATAACATATTTCACATTCATTTGTATTATTATTTAAATTTGTTATTGTTGTTATCATTGAATTAATATAATTATCATCATTTGTATTTGTTGAATTAATATCATGTATAGCTGGTAAAATAGGTGTTGATGTTGATGTTATTTGTACAAATGAATTCATATTAAAATTAGTTGACATACGACGAAAAAATGTTTGTGGTAATATTTCATCTGTATTTGATATTGTACTAGATGGACTTGTTATACGTTTAATAACATCACTTGCACGTATATCAATTGATGATGATGAATTTGATGCTTGAGAATTTGTACGTTGTTTTATATTTTGTGATGATCCTAACTCATCATCATGTGATGATAAATTTAGAATAGTATGTCCTTTTTGATTATCATTTGTTGAAGAATTATGTTCAGTTATTGGATGAATTCGATGATGTTTTCTTGTATTTGATGAATTTGCTTCACCAACATACATCGTTGAATTTTACAATTTTTTGAAATATATATTGATGGATTTAATTCTACTTGACAAAAGTAAATGAAACTGAATGCATTCTATTTGCGTGTCACTCTAAAAAAAGAAAGAAAAGAAAGAAAAGAGAAGAAAAATAACAGATTCTCAATTTGCCTCAAACTGCATGCGCATGATGATGGAGAACAGATCTCGTAAAAGTATCGAAACATTATTTTTTTTTTACCTGCATCGGACAATTTTATTTATATAACACGAGAACAAGATACAATTTTCTTTTTTTACATTCTATGTCTCATTCAAATATATCAAAATGTAAATAGGTCACCTCACCAAACATGCGTATATAATCAATTGATTGTCATATATTGATGATAAATATTAACGAAATCCATCTGACATTCTTTGTTTTTTCTTTTCATTGAAATTAAATATAAAAAAAATATTTGTTATTTTCTTGACAATAATATAATTATAGTCTTCCTACTTTTTGTTTATCACCTTTACATTAAACTAACAATGAAACAAAACAAAAAAAGAACTAATCTCGTTGAAAAAAAAAGCGCGCATATAAATATTCAAAGAAAAAAAAAGTAAACGAGTTCTAGCTGATTCATGTATGTATATACTTTTATTGCTGTTTTTTCTTTTTTTTTTGTTAGTCGTTTTTTTACCTAAGTAGTATTTACTTAAGTCATTGCCTTACGAATCGACACATACACACAGAATGATTAGACGGCTAACGTAGATAAACGATTTATGAGAATGTGTGTAATTTAGGCTTTATTTATAATATTCCTTAGGTCTTTTTTTTGCTTTCATTCTTATTGTTTGATTGTCTATCCTAATATAGTCAAGGAAAAGAGACATCTCAAATAAATATGTCTAGTCTTAAATATATATTCTCATCATTAGTATCATCTTGTTCTTTCCGATTGAATGAAGGAGAAATGTTAACTTGATTAGGTGAAGGTTACTATCCCAAGGATGTTATCGCTAATATATGCGTAATTTCCTCGATTGATGTTTAGGATTTGACCAGAAAAATGTAACTCATTATTATTTCATGGACATTCTTGCGTAACCTATGATTTCTTTTATCGATCGCGATTTTATTAGTTGGGTACGGTATATTAAACGAAAAAGCAAAAGAAAACAAATAGAATATTTTTCACGCTTGATAAAAGCATTTCTATTTTTAATCATAATTTAATTTTTTTAAAAAAAACTGAAAACAAATTCAAAGAGTTTTTTCATATTATCCTACAATTATTTATAACTATATATATATATACTGACAAAAAACGATTCAAAAACAATCTATAGAAAATTTTTTCTAGTTTTAACAAATAAAAAAGATATCTTTAAGAAGATTTTGTTCTTCGGAATCTGCTAGAGCATTCATGGAATTTTTATTAATTTGAGGTTTATTATTTATTGGTAATTTTTTTGGTATTTGTTCATGATATGATTCATTTAAAGATAATATTAATAGATCTTCATCATTATTATCAATTTCATATCGTTGAGTTTGAATTGGACGATTAGCTTGTTTATCAGAACTTCTAAAAACAAACCACAAAATTTTTTTGTTTTTATTATTTTAGTTTTAAATTTCATTTAAAATATTTGTTACTTGACAATGAATTTTGTTGTTTGTCTAACAGGTGATGTACCACATTCGACAACAGCTGTTTTTATTTCATGCTTTATTGGTGATGTAGCACGTGTTGTTGTTTGAATAGCTAAATTTGATGAAGATTTAGTTGTTTGTTCAATTGAAGAATTTATATTTCTTTGCTGAAATTCTTTTTCAAGTATTTGTTGCTAAAAAAGAAAGCACAAAGAAAACTTTTTCTTTTTATTATTTACTACAAAAAAAAAATTTGATTCAAGACTTGTTTATGAAGTAATTCTAATTGTTTTTCCATCATTAATTGTTTTAATTGAAATTGTTCATTTATTATTGAATTTGCTGTACGAGATGGTTGAATGAAATCATTTTCATGTTGAATACGTGTTACTGTTGAAGATTCTTTCAATGGTAAATTAATTGGTGTTGATGACTAAACAAATAATAAAATTAAGATTTGAAATTATAATGAAAAAAAAAAATAAATAAAATTTCTACTCGTTGAGGATTTGGAAATTCATTTGTTGGTGGTTTTAATAATAATTGAGGTTTTTTTTCATATTCATTTAACATCATTTTTGTTTGATTATAACGTGTAAGAAGTTCTAAATAAGAGAAAAAGAAATTAAAAAAAAATTTAAGACAAAAGAATTTTACTTTGATTATCTTTCATTAATTTATCATAATCAGTTAATAATGTTTTCATTTGTACTTCAAATAATTTTCGTTCTTGTTCAAGTTTATTTTCTGTAAGTTCTTTTTCATGATTTATACTAAAACAAACAAAATCAAATGAAATTATCTATGAAAAATAAATTAGAAATATATACCGTGCAAGTTCTTTTATTAAATTAGCAATTTTTAATTTATCTTCAGCACTTAATTCTTTAATACCTTTGGAAGATTGAATTGATGTATCAATTGAACTAGTCGAAACAGGTTGATCAACAAATCGAACAGCATTTGGTGCACTTGGAACCTATGTAAAATATGAAATACGATTAAATGATTTGAATTTCAGGAGAAAAATTAGATGATATTCGAGTTTCATTTGACTGTGAGGTTTCGAATGTCGATTGTTGGAAAAATCGATATCTCATTAGACAAAAAAAAACGAATAACTGTTTCTACAACGCTTTTCATCATAATTTTATGAAATAAATTGTTTTCTTTTTCGTCGCGATAAATCAAGAAATCGATCTTTCTATCAAAAGCTGAACGAAGATGAAAAATGGTCATTGTAAAATTCATTATTAAGAGACAGAAATGGCTCAATTGGGTGAAGATGTGACATCCCTCAATCAAGAAGATCTTTTGTTTTTTTTTTGAACAGAACCAAATATTCTTCGTACGTTCACTTAGACAAAAAAATCTTTACACTCTTTTTCTCCTAATGTTGGCTGTCTTGAGTTAGTCCTTATGTTATGCTTCGCATCATATTAAAAATTATCTCAGACTGACTTATTTACTGAAGTGTTGGAACAAAGACAAACAAAAAAGAATTTTCTGTATGAATGATACTCTTATTCATTGATGAATATTGTTCAAACTTAAGTATAAATTGTTTTACTACTCGTGAATTGAAAATGTTTCATTGTTCTATGAAAATTATAAAGAAACTAATGGAAGAGAATAAGATTTTTTTTTTTTTTATAAAAAATAACACCATATTTATAATTAACAAAAGACCTTCTTGACAAAATTACATAATTATATGTCACTTTTATGCTATTTGTAACTATATCAAAATGACAAGAACAGACATAGAGAAAAAACGTTTTTGAAATTGATTAATTAACCTTTGTTCGTGCTTTGTTTACTACAGATGGTGCAGTAACTTTATTTGTTTTTATTGTTGGTATTTGTGGATGTTGTGCTATTGGCTTTTGAATCGTTGAATTTTGTTCTATATAAGAAAAAAAAATAGAATATTAAATAAATTCAGCTATAATTACCAGCTGCATTTAACCAACGTATTCTAACCGGCTCTTCACTAGGTGGTACAATATTCTCTTCAGTCATAATTTTATCTAAAATTTTATATGCAGAAAAAAAAGAATCATCAGCAAATCATGTTTAATATCGAATTGTTTTCTTAATTAGATAGATTTAAAAAAAAAAAGAACGTCATCATATGATTTAATGTTCGATTGAATCGTAAACTTGTTTAAAATTCTTGTAAAATCCCTAAAATAAATCGAAAAATATAAATCAAAATATGTTTTATATAATAATTTACGTTAAAAAAAACTAAATAATGTTCTAATGCTTGTGTTGATGTCATTTCACGTATTGAATGCATTGATAATTGTGGCGCACCAACATCAACTGTATACATTCCAAGACGAGAAGCAAGTATTGGACCAACAGTTGTACCACATGGCATATCATTTCTCATACAAAATTCCTTGACAAAAAAAAAAAAAATTAAAGTTATTAAAAAAATGACATTTAGAAAATAACTTAAAAAAAGAACACACCTGTAATGGAACATTGCTTAAACGAGCAATTTCTTTAATTAATGTTGCTGTAAATGCTGTTGTTGCATAACGATTACAACAATTTGTTTTAACAACAACTCCACCATTTAATAATGATGGTCTATGATCACGATCATGAAGAGAACTATAATTTGGATGGACACCATCTTGTTTTTTTTTGTAAAAGAAAAGACAATATTTATTTATTTATTTTTCTTTGATTAATATACATACGAGCCATATCAGCTGAAACAAGAAATGAATTTGACACTGAACGTTCATATTCAGCACGTGTCATTCGACGTAATGTATGTTGAGTAAATTCGCTCATAGCACCTTGAGCACTTTCAGAACCAATCTAAATTTTTACAAAATCATATAAATACTCTCTGCACAGAATAGAAGTCCAGCGAGCTTCTCATTTGTTTTGATAGTCAAAGGTTTGAAGGTGGACTACTATTATGGCTACATTTTTTTTTGTGTTGTAGTTATACTATCATTAGCTTATGAGTATTTAGGATATCTATAATAGTTTCTGTGGAATCAGAGATTGACTATTAGTTCTGTTCCGATTTCATACTATTAAGTAGATCACATAATGAGTTCTTTACACTACTTTTCACGCTCACAGACTCATTTATCTGCGATACTCGGTAGATTCTGGTGTATATATACGAACAGTTATGGTTAATGCAATATTTTAACTAAGAAATTGCCAAGCTCTAGCGAAGTTATATCTTTAAGTAGTACGTATGCATGCACATTTTTCAAGTCAGGAAAAGAATTGATTAATCTGTTGCTAGAAATTATATACAACAAAAAAGAAATTAAGCCCATAAACAGAGCTATAATTCAATATTGAGAAGCAATGAGCTAATCTATCCATTTTAAGATTTACGAAGGAATCATCTCAAGTGGCAATCACCGTTTGAGCTCACATGGAATCTACAGGCAAGTCTTAATGACAATAGCAAACGCCTAGAAGAGTTCATTCCAATGGGCCTTTGGCACCGATTATAACTGGTTTACTAGATTTTTGATCCAATATTAGGTACTCCTCGGAAGATCGTACAACAGAATTTGCATCCAAAATTTTGCTTATAGATAGATTTAATGACTTTTAGAATACCCTGAAAGTTTCAAATGAAAAGAATGTTCTTTCATCAAGATATTGAATTTCCAAAAATATCCGTTTGCAACAGACATATCACAAAAATCGAGTTTACTTGGAACTTCAATAACTCGACGAAAGAACATTCTTTTCGGCTGAAACTTTCAGCATATCCTAAAAGCCGTTAGACCTGTCTGTAGGCAAAATTTTAAATCGAAAATCCAGTAAACTGATCCTAACTCGGCATCAAAGATCCATTGGGACGAACTCTTTTAGGATTTTGCTATTCTTACTGCAATCTATCTGTAGATCCGATATGAATTCAAATGATCAGTGTCAGTTGAGGCACTTTCCTTGTTAGTACATGAAATACTCAATAAAAAAAGTTCATCATTAAATTTCTTATATAAAAAAAAAGATGATCTTATCGAATATCATTTCATTCCTATCTCAATAAATTATATTAACCTCTTCATTATCATATAATAAAGCTCCACGAATAAATGTTTCATCTGGAAGTGTATCAAGTGTATTGACAAGACCCTAGAAATAAAAAAGAAACAAAAATTACAATTTATAATAAATCTATTAATTTCAAATTTTACTTGAATTGCACAATATGCACTCATTTGATTATCGAGTCGTCCAGAATAAATAAATTCATTTTTAAGACCACCAACACATGATGGTTGAGTATCAGCAAGCATTAAATCAAAATTAATAATATCATCTGCTTGACAATTACATTCATTAGCAAGTAATTCTAATAATTGACTATGATGTTTTTTTGACTAAAATTTTTCAAGAAAAATGATTTTAATTTAAATGAAAATTTTACTTTTTCATATATTTACTTCATCGATTAATTTTTTATTTGTATCCGATGTTGTCTCTTTTTCTTTTGTTGATTTATTTAGTTCTTCTTCAGTTTTTAATGATAATACAGCTTGTCTAAATGAAGATTTTTATTTTTGTTTTGTTTTTTTAGAAAATATTTTTATTAAATTCATATCATACAAATGATCTTGTTTATTGATTTCTAATTTTTCATTAGTATCACGTTTAAGATGAATAGCAATAGTTGGTATACGAAGTATAGGTCGATTTATATGTACCAAATGTTGATTAATTTTACCATTTTGTTTCTTTATTTAAACAAAAAAAAAATCATAAAGAATTGATTATAAATTCTTATACAAACTCGAAAGAAAACTCGTCCAGCTAATGTTAAATCTCGATCAAACCACGTATGCCAAATACCACCACCATAACATTCAACATTGACTTGTAAATAACCACTCTCTTCTCGTTTTGATACAGGTTTTACCTATAAGATAAAATAATTTTAAGTTCAAATGAGAAATTCTAAGAGTATAAAATCGTAATGCTGAAATTTTTGAACAAAAAGAGTTTACTTTCATCGGACAGACTATCTACAGTTTAATTTATAAATATATTTGAGATTTTAGATCAGAAAACTTAGAGAAATTGATGTAAAGACTTACATTGAAATGAACTAAATTCCTACTAATAAATTAGGATCGAAATTAAAAGATTTTGAATAATAAATTTTATTTTCTGATATTGATTGTACAAAGTGATGCCTTTTTTTATCCTAAGATCAGGAAAATGGTCGATATTAATCTTGAGTGAATTATAAGATGATGAAATCATGCTATTAGTTAATTTGTCTTGAGATTCAGATGAGAAATTTTGATTAACAAATGCAGAACAATTTATAAGTGCGCTAAGAGACAAAAGAATATGACTCTCAATAAATATTGAACTTCGATCGATCTTAAAAATTCATTTCAGTTAAGTAAATCATCTAATAGATGAACTGATTGCTTTCCGTTGTTCAATTGTAACTTCTTCGATGTAGCTAATTTCGTTTATTGTACATGTTTTCTATAAACGAACAAATGAATTCCTTTTGTGAGTCGAAAAATGTGTACTCGTAGATATTAATGAAACACAACTGTTTAGAAAATGGCGAATACGAAATGGGGCATGCTTTAATATTGTTCTATTGAACGTCTTCCTGTTATGGAATTATGCACAACCTAGAAAAAATTTTTAACTGAAAAATGAGACATTTTGCACAAATGAACGATGATTGCTTGAAATTACACGAGAATTTATCGGACTCGAAAACAAGTGCTAGTATGAGATGAGTACGATATTCATTATTGAAACATTACCTATTTCATAAAATTGAGAAGCCCTCACTTGGAAGCAAACAGTTTACTTTATACTTCTTTCAAGATAATTGAAATATATCTTCGTGCGTTTCTGAACTGTACATAAACTTTTAACATGACATCACTTGGCAGAGATGTACAGAAATTTTTTCTCAATCCCTCCAAAGCTCAATAGTTTCTCAAACCAAAGTATTGTAATAAAAGCGATTTAACATATCTATTTTAAGATCCACGAAATGCTGATAACAAATGAACATATGAATAAGAAAAGTATACAAGTCAATTTTTTTCATTCCATCGGTAACTATCAAAGTTTTCATACAGTTTGAAAATTTCAATTTATCGAATCTTGTGCACTTCTATGCTTGTAAGCAAATCAAATCATAGTTACAACATAAAACAAATATTGATCATAATAAAATCTGTCCTATATATATTATTTCTGCATGTAATAACTTTCAATTATATAAGTAATATTCGAAGCATTAAATTACATACTCGAAGATGTGGTGAATCAGTATGTGTTGCTGCTAAAGCAAAACCATTGCCATTTGTATATTTTCCACCAACAGCAAATGCCGCAATACATGAACCATTTTTAATAACAAAATACTAAATAAATTTAATTTAATTTAATATTATTTTTTTTCTTTGTTTTATTACTTTTCCCAAAGGTTCAATATTCCATTGTTCATTTTCTCGTAATTCTTTAAAACCTGTTGAAGTTAATATTGTTTTAACATTATCAACACCTTCAAAATATTGAATAATAATATTAGAATAAAAATAAAACTACGAATTTCTATTAATAAAAGCAAAACTTACAATGAAATGCTGTTGGACTTTTATTAATAAAATTAATAAATCCTTCAACATTTTTTGATATTGAACCGGCTAATGTTGTCATCTAAAAATTAATAGAATTTATTTTCTTCAATTCTATACCACATACCCTTCGAATAAAAAAACTATAACGAGGAAAATTATTGAAAATGATTGACATCTTAAAATTGAAAGAAAAAAAAAATAAGAACAGAAAATGACTATTTTCATAATAAGATAAATATATATATATTCATTGTCTTCTTCAATCCACATTAGTCAGTTATAATAAGAAACACCAGCAGATAACAATAATTAGATAACTTAATTTTAAAAACAAAAACAAAAACAAAAGAACAATTACTAACTCCATGTTTTTTTTTCATTTATATATAAACTGAAGTTTGA